GTCGCTCCAGCCGGACGCCTTCACGCCGGCGGCAACATCCTTGGCGAGAGCAAGGGCATCGGCCTTGAGGCCGTTCATCTTCCAGTTGCCCGCGATCAGCGGCCGCCTCGTACGCGCCATTATTTATTCCCCGTTCTATTCGAGGCGTATCTAAAGGCGGCGACGTTTGCGGTCAAAGCCCGCTTGGTTGCCTGTCCATGGGGCCGGTGGTAGGCATGGCGCCCCGTCAAGAACCCCCGTCCGGTCCGTGATTAACTTCCGCAAGTACGCCCGCTACGTCATTCTTTTCATCCTCTTCGGCATGCTGATCATCAGCTTCGGCCTGTGGGGTGTCGGCGACATGCTGAAGGCGGTCGGACGCAGTTCCGAAGTGGCGCATGTCGGCGGCACCAAACTGCCGATCTATGGCTGGGTTGGCGGTGCGCCGGTCTATGCGACCGAGGTGCGCGAGCAGTTCAACCGCCAGCTCGAAGCGATCCAGCGCCAGACCGGCCAGCGCCCCGAGCAGGAGCAGGCGCTGCGCTACGGCCTCCACGTGCGGGCCCTCGAGGAAGTGATCCAGCGCGCCGTCCTCGACTATGCGGTCCGCGAGTTCGGACTGATCGTGAGCGACGAGGAAGTCCGCGCCGCGATCGCCCGCAACCCGGCTTTCCAGGGCACCGGCGGCTCGTTCGATCCCCTGCTCTACCGCAACCGCCTGCAGCAGGCCCGCATCAGCGAGCAGCAGTTCGTCGTCGACATGCGTCGCGAGATCGCGGCCAGCCAGCTGTTCGGCGCCGTGCGCGCCGACGGGCTCGCGCCCGTGTCGCTGCGCGACCAGATCTTCAAGCTGGAGAGCGAGAAGCGCACCGCCGAGACGATCTACATTCCCGACGCGATCGTGGTCGACGTCCCGAAGCCCACCCCGGAACAGCTCAACACCTATTTCGAGGCCAACAAGGCCAAGTTCCAGATCCCCGAGTTCCGGGCGTTCTCCTACGTCATGATCACGGTCGACGACGTGCAGAACCAGGTGGCCGTCACCTCCGACGCCGTGCGCCAGGAATACGAGGCCCGCGCCGCCGAGTTCGGCACGCCCGAGAAGCGCGACGTCGACCAGGCGATGACCGACACCGAGGACAAGGCCAAGGCGATCATCGCCGCCGCCAAGGGGGGTAAGTCGCTCGAGGACGCCGCCAAGGAAGTGACCGGCAATGCCGACGGCGTCATCAAGCTCGGCTCGGTGACCAAGAAGGACCTCCCGCCCGGCCCGCTGGCCGACGGCATCTTCGGCCTGCCGGAAGGCATCGCCGCCGCGCCGATCCAGTCGCCGCTTGGCTGGCACATCGTGCGCATCAACAAGATCGAGGCCGGCAAGGCCGTGCCCTTCGAGGAGGTCAAGGAGAAGCTCGAGAAGGACCTGAAGGCGCAGCAGGCACCCGACCTGCTGATCAAGCTGGTCACCGACTTCGAGCGTGCGCTGAGCAAGACCCAGT